TTTTTTTTTTTTTTTTTTTTTTTTTTGCTGTGGATTTGGTTGGTTGATGATGATGATGAAGGCAAGGGAAGATGAGGAACTCGGAACTGGGAAAAATAAAAAAATTATTTTTTTTTTCTGTGGATGCTTGTTGAGGAACTGGAGAGCACTATTGTTCTAGGTTCGAATGTTGTTCTGGGTTCGAATGGGTTTAGGGAAGAAAAGGGAGAAGGGTTCGGGCTTTGCAGGAGGTGGGGCCCACTTTTTTTCCTTGTTTGGTTTTGGGGCAAAATGGATCATACTGCCATGTCATCTTTTTTTTCCAGGTGTTCGTTTGAGGTGTCACTTTATTTTTGACATGTCATCATGCTTTTGTTAATCAAGGACACGTCACTGGAATTTTAATGGATTTTTAACGGAGGGACTAAATCGGGGTCAAAATGGTAAACAGTAGGGACCAAATCAGGGATTTTTTGAGTTGAGGGACTAAGTCGGGGGTCCGTACGATAGTTGAGGGACCAAAATGGGGGTTTAACCTTAACATAATAACAGTATTACAAATTGTTTAAATGTTTTTACAAAAGCTAAAAAACAAAAATTAGATTTCTGCTGAAGGAGGTGGCTAAACTAGCTCCTGCTCAGCTGGAAGAGGTGGCTGTGATGGCTGCTGCTCGTTTGGCAATGGAGGCTACTCATCGTCAGAAGGAACTGGATGAACCTCCACTTCTGGAACTGGTTGGCTCTCATCCACTTCAGTACCTTCCACTTTTGCCTCCACTTTATCCTCCTCTACCTCTGCCTCGTCATCTTCCACTGCAACGAACTCAAAGTCAAAGTGTGGAGGGAAAATAGTACGTCCGTCTGCATCATGATCCCACCTCAGTTTTATCTGAGGACGGAAGTCTGCTGACATGCTCTCACCATTTTCCTCCACTCCCTCTTCTTGTTCTTCGAAGGTGATCTTTGTAATATCCACCTCGAGATGCTCAATTTTCACCTTCTTTCTACAGTCCGTGAAGGCGATGATGGCAGTTGGCAGCCGGTAGAGGTTGACGATGTCATCAAACGAGCTGTGACTGAGGAAGTTGCTGATGTGCTCCTTCATCCCATTGTGCACTAGTAGCTGCACATTCTTCTTCAGCTCCACATAAGCTTCCTTCATCAGCGTTACTTCTTTCGCTTAAGCCTCACGCTCGCTTTCAGAGATCTTTCGTTTGCTCTCCTCAAAGACGAGCTTAGTACTCAGGGAAGCCCTTTCCTACTCTAGCTGCTTCACAGTTGGAACCACCTCGTTCAGCTCCTTTTGCAATTCCTTATTCTTTTTCTCCAGCTCCTCCTTCTCCTTCTGCAGCTGGTCACACTGCCTTTGCAAGAGGGAGCGCTCCTTCACACTCTCCATGAACTCCTAGGCTAGACCATTCACCCGGCTCGTGCTCTACAATCCACGCAGAAGTTAAAAAAAAAAAAAAGGAGAGAGAAGAAGAACAAACAAACAAACAAACAACAGTAAATACAACTAAATTAACCTAAATACCTCAAACACATGCTTCACTACTGAAGCCCCACAATACCTCAGAGCCTCGTCCCGTGCGTTGCGTTTGTTCACTTCGGGAAAGGTGGTGTTGATAAACCTCCTAGCCCCTGTCATGTTCTTCGCCTCGAACAGGCTGCTCTTAAAGGAAAATGGGGGAACAGGGCCCTTTCCCTTGCCGGGAGCTCGTACTTCAGCCCCTTCCTCAGATTCCTTGAGCTTAGGGTTGAGCTCAACAGGAGGAGGCTGAGATACGAACTGGGGAACCTCGCTCCCCCTCTCTTCCTCCTCCACCACCTTCTTCTTCTTCTGTAGTGCCCTTCTCTCCTCCCAACCCTTCCTCTTCAACTGTGGCACCACCTCCTCCGCCTCAGCTGAAGTAGTAGGCACTACCTCCTTCCCAGCTCTCCCCTCATCCACTTACTTGGTTGAAGTCTTTGACTTCTTCCTTGGCTTCTTGGGAATGGTCACTCCTCCAACAGTGTTCAAAAATTTATCCATTTCAGCTGCAAAACAAGAAAACACAATATCAGTTACACAGCTCTATACTCTACATTATACACTATAATGTAAATCTAAACAAACCTTCACTTAAAGCGCTTGGCCCATAGAGCTCAGCAGCTTCTATGCTTTCTGCGCTGGTGAGGTCCATGATGTTTAATAAATCCCCCCCTTCCTTACCAACTTCCCCATTTCCTCTTTCTCATCCTCGTTTAAGCTAAACTTATTCTGGTTGGCTCTTTTAGTCTTCCAGGATGCTAACTCCCTCACCTCGGTATCCTCCCTCTCCCACTCCGTATCATCTACAAAAAAGAATTTTTCCTTCCATCCTTTAATAGATGAAGCCGCGTAAACAACGCCCTACTCTCCCTATTTGCTACCCTAGGGGTGAAATAATACCACCCATTATCTTTCCTACTACCCCCCTTCAAAACAAAAAAATACTTAAACATATTTACAGTTGGCACATTAATCCCCTAAGCTCGGCAATAAACTAAAAATCCTATTATTACTCTCATAGCGTTGGGGACTGACTGTGTCAACCCTATACTATAATCTAACAGCAAACCTACTAGCAACTCAGGGATTGGAAACCTGAGCCCGGCTAACAAATAGTGGGCATACACAGGCATCCAATGATCCCGAGGAGCAGAACACGCCCTCTCCTCTACCCCAGCTGGCCTAACTAACACTCGGGAAGAGATCTCGTAATTCTCCACTAAATGACCCAGGCTATCCCTGGTCCCGAGTTCAGACCTGTATTGCTTCACCTCCTCCACTATATCTGCCCCTACATCGTAAACCCTCTCACCCCTACCCTCTACTTCTACCACGGTGATGGGTACACTATCCCCCCCAACCTCCACCACCTCATCTCCTCTCACCCCTTCCACTGTCCTGTCCGAACTAGATGGAGACGGACTACTCTCCGCATCCATGCTCCCATGCTCCCATACTCCAGGGGCATTACCTCACTTCCTACCACACTCATTGTATCTTCTGAAGACATTTTCTTAATTTCTGCACGAAGTAGGGGGAGGAATGAAGTCAGGACCCCTTTTTAAAAAAAAAAAATTGTAAAGCACACTCAAAATCATTCTCACTCCCAACCCTAATTTCCTTCAGAGGACTCCAAATCAACCACAAAAAGGGAGAAAGGAGAGTGACACTTCGATTAACTAAAAATCAGAGATTTGTAAACATTACCTGATTTCGATTTAGAAAGCTTGATGTAGAAATCCACAAATGCTGTAGCAACTCACGCGCAGGAAGCACACAGTAAAGATTTCACAGAAATTTTGCAGAAAACACAATGAAAGTAAACTTCCTTTTGCAGAAAAATGACTATTTATACCTCTGGGCAAAATTAGATCTCAACGGCTGGGATTCGTTTAATCTTACGGTCCCTATTCACACCGTTTCGAATTCGACCGTCAACCCCAAACGGCACCGTTTTGAACTCAACGGTTCGTTTTTTAAATTTGCCCGTTTAACTGATGCAGTTATCTTTTTACGGCCGCATGTATTGCGCACGTCCTTTAAATGACAACTGTCACACCACATACCGCCCCTTATCAGACTTCTCAGCCGGGCCCACTTAAGCCCATTTCTACACTCTTGTTCACTTTCACACAATTTTTGCAAGTGTTTCACTTCGGCTCAGGCCACAGTGACCCAGTGTCACACGTTTCACTTCGGCTCTAGCCATTATGACTCCGGTCATCATATTTTATCACAGCTTCGACCATTATAACTCCGGTCATCATATTTTATCACGGTTTCGACCATTATGACTCTGGTAATCATATTTTATCACAGCTCCGGCCATTATGACTCTGGACATTATGTTTTATCACGGCTCCGGCCATTATGACTCCGGTCATTATAGTTTATCACAGCCTCGGCCGTTACGACTCCGGTCATCATTATTTATCATGGCTCTGGTTACATTACGACTCTGGTCATCACTTCTTATTACCGCTCCGGCCACCATGACTCTGGTCATTATCTCTTACTTTGGCTACGGCCGCATTGACTCCGACCATTATTTTTACCACAGCTACAGCCGCGATTGCTCTGGTCGCATTCTATTTTGGACATGCCCAGCGTGACCCTCTATCACATACTTCATTATTAGCTACGGCTATGTATGCATTTGAGTTACAGATTTTACTTTTTACTTTTACTTCTGTAATTTATCCTTGTCTTTATTTATGCACTCCCCTCATTATCCCCAACAACATCATTCACAAGTGAATGACTTCAGGGGGGAATAGTGTAAGGATAGGTCCGAGGTGCCCAGCCTCGGACTACCATGGTAATAACTTTATGACCGAAGTGAAGGGTAAATCCAAAGCCTCCCGCCCAAACAGCTGCATGACAGCGACAATAAGCATACCCGCACCTGATTCTTTATTATGACCTGCACAGCAGTTATGATGGACATCCTTGCCTCTGAATATCTCTCAAATTCTCGGTCCCGAAATAATCGTCTAGATAGACACGTCAGGCTTCGATTATCTTGCTTGGCATGCCACATGGGTTCCTCACTAGAGCCTATAAATACCTCCCAGAGGCCACGTCAAAAAGGTAATTGAAACCAACCCTAAGCTCCTTTTATCTCCGCTCTAAAGGTAGCCCCGATTATTGTTGACTTAAGCATCAGAGTGTCTACCCCGAGAACTCACCTTGAGGCTTTGCAGGTCGATTCGAAGTGCTGATACAGACTGAAGAAGGACTTCTGGTTTGGTGCAATTACACCTCCCAAGTCCCACATAGAAAAAATGATAATTAATTTTGATTAATCATATTATTAGTTATTAGGATATTTTGTTGGACTTTGGTTGACCCAACTACAAAAGGCAAGTAGCAATGGCAAACATGATCATGACCAAAGAAGTCAATCCCGTACCGTACCGGTTTTGACACTTGATCGAAATGGTACAACATTAAATTCCGTTTCGGTCAAAATTCGATCGTTTCGATCAAAATCCGGTGTACCGGTCGAAATTTTGTGTACCAGCTGATACACAAAATTCCGACCCGTACACTTCATGCCCCAAAAAAAAAAAAAGATTTCCTAGCCCAAAACGACGTCGTTTTGGGCTAGGGCTTTTAATCCCTGCAAATCTGCAATTTCAGATCGAGCATACTTTGCGAACATAGCCTTGCCCTCCGATCCGACCCTCTTCACCGGTGGTGCAGGGCGTGCAGTTGCTGCTACTCCTCCTTCTTGTTTTGTGAATCGGCGCCCTAGATCTTGGACTTGGAGATCAATTCGTGGGCTTGTAATTTCAGATTGAAATCATTGAATCTTTGCAGCAACCCAACTCCGTCTGCTGCTGGAAACTTTCTAGCTTCGCCGGTGGTTGGGTGGTCCAGTCCAGCTGCTGCTCTCGCTTCTTAATTGGTGGGCTAGGGGCTAGATCTTGCGTCTTGTTTCTCTTCACCCCTCTCCAGCAACCGAGCTTCATCTCCAGTAGTCGAGCTCCGTCCCCAACAACCGAGCTTCGTGTCCAGCAACCCAGCTCTGTCTCCAGCAACCCAACTCCGTCTCCAGCAGCCTAGCTCCGTGTCCAGCAGCCCAGCTCCGTCTCCAGCAGCCTAGCTCTGTCTCAGGTATCTTGCATGATTTCCTCTTGCTTTTCTTGGTTTTTATCTTTCTTTGTTAATTTCATTACTAATTGAAATAGTGAATATCTTTCCTTTTGAATTTTGGTGCGATTGATTTGCAATTTGGTGTGAATAAAAATAGTACTGCTTTGTCAAGTTGCTCCCATAATAAATCTGTTGAATTGTGCATCTAGCCACCCAAATTAGAAATAGCAAGACAATTGTTAGTTTGTTAAATCATTAGGCTCACATGGTGTGGTTGATTGCTGCAATTTATGAAATAGTTGTTATTTTTCTGTTTGTAGGATATCATGAATACTAGTGGTTCAGGCAATGGCACAGGAGACTCTATTGGATCCACTCCTTCTAAAACAGATGATCCTGCTTGGGCTCATTGTTTGATTATCCCCGGTAGAAGGAATCAAACTAAATGCTTATATTGTGATAAGCTCATACTAGGGGGTGGAATTACTAGATTGAAAGAGCATCTTGCCGGAATCAAAGGCAATGTCGGTGCTTGCAAAAAAGTTTCAGCAGATGTGAAAAGGCAAATGCAACAGTTGTTAAGTGAGAAAAGGAAAGGGAAAGAAAAGAGACAAAGACTTGGGGATATGGTTGGGAGTCAATGTGATTCACAAATATTTGTTGATGAAGATGATGAAATTGAAGAAAGCCATTGATCTCAATCACATGTAGCACAACAGAAAAAAAATATTAATTCATATTTCGTACCAAGGACAACTTCTGAAGCCCAGAAAACCATAAAAAATGCTTTGCAATCAAGAGAAAAACAAGAAGCTTCTAGGATGGCTATTGCTAGATGGTGGTATGATGCTAATGTGCCTTTCCGTGCTACACGTTCAAAATACTACTTGCTAATGTGGGATGCTGTCACATCTATGGGACCTGGTATCAAGGGACCGAGTTACCATCATTTAAGAGGTTCTCTCTTAAAATGTGCAGTAAAGGAAGTTAATGAATGGCTCTTATCTTTGAAGTCAATATGGAGTACCAATGGTTGTTCAATTATGGCAGATGGATGGACAAATCAAAGACAGCAACCAATAATTAATTTCCTTGTTTATTGTCCTAGAGGAAGCATGTTTTTGAAGTCTGTTGACACTTCTGGTTTGACAAAGGATGCTGATACATTGGAGAGGATGTTTGATGAAGTGGTGAAAGAAGTGGGAGTGGAAAATGTGGTACAATTTATAACAGACAATGATGCTTCATTCAAAGCTGCTGGGAAAAGGTTGGAAGCAAAGTACAGCACATTTTTTTGGTCTCCTTGTGCTGCCCATTGTATTGACTTGATGTTAGAAAATTTTTCTGATGCAAGATACTTTCCTATAGTTGATACTACTATAGGAAAGGCAAGAAAAATCACAAAGTTCATATATAATCATTCATGGGTGCTAGCATTGATGAGGAGGGACTACACAAATGGGAGACATTTGTGTCGTCCTGCTGTTACAAGATTTGCTACCCATTTTTTGAGCATCCAATGTTTATTGAAATTCAAGAAGGAGCTTAGACAAATGTTTACAAGTGATGCATGGGTTGGTTCTAGGTATGCAAGAAATAGTGTTGGGAAAGAAGTATGTGAAATTGTCTTGGAAGATAGAGAATTTTGGTCTAATTGCATATTGATTGTCAAAATCAATGAGCCTTTGGTGAGAGTGCTTCGACTTGTGGACAATGAAGAGAAGCCGAGTATGGGCTACTTGTATGAGGCAATAGATAAGGCAAAGGAGACAATAAAAAAGAATTTTAATAATAGGTTGTCTCAATACATGCCTTACATTAAGGTGATTGATGCTAGATGGGATAAGCAACTTTATAGCCCATTACACTCAGCTGGATGCTTTCTTAATCCAGGTATCTACTTTAGGCTTGGTTTTAACAAACAAACTGCTATTACGAGAGGTCTGTTTAATACCTTAACAACATTGATACCGGATGAAGAGAAGCAAGATCTCATTAGTTCACAACTTGAGGAGTATAAAAAAGCTACAGGAACCTTTCGCATGAGTTTGGCTATTCGTCAAAGGGAAAAGTTAAATCCAGGTAATTTTCTTTCATCTTAGCTTTCTTTTCAATTTATTTAAAAAAATTTTACTTTATTTATTTTAATGCACATTGTATTTTACTGTTTTTATAGTTGCATGGTGGGATCAATTTGGAACGAATACACCAGAATTGCAAAAGTTTGCAATTCGAGTGCTTAGCCAATGCACAAATGCAACTGGATGTGAAAGGAATTGGAGTGCTTTTGACTTTGTTCATTCTAAGAAGAGGAATAGGCTAGAGCATGAAAGGTTGAATGCCCTTGTGTTTGTTCGTTATAACTTGAAGCTTCGAGAAAGGTATAATCTCTTAAAATTATAGTTGCTTTAGTTTTTGCATATAACTTAGCTTTCATTTTTAACTTAGCTTAAAAGTATTATAATATTATAATTTTTGTTTGTTTATAGAATTATTTGTAGAGGCAAAGAAGCAATGGATCCTCTTAGTCTTGAAAATATTGATATATTAGCTGATTGGGTGGCTGAGGAACCAGCTCTTCTTGACAAAGATGATTATGATGTGGATTAGGCAGCTATTGATGAGTCTTTGCCGAATCAAAGTCTTGATGATACTGATAATGTTGTTTATGATGAGGAAGATATCCCACAGATTCCTGAAAATGAAAATGAAAATGAACAACTTTGGGTTGGGATTGATGGAGTTACAGGTTATGGAATTCCTCCAAATGAGGATCCTTATAATTATGTCCAAGATATTTAGTAATGTTTTGAAATTAATTGTGTTGTTTATTTTTAATTTTCCTTGGATAAAAACAAGTGAAGAACCCTTATGATGAACCCTTGTGATGAATGCTTTTAGCTTTTTTAAATTGAATATGATTCTCTATTGTCTATTTAATCATTATTATCATCTTAATGTTTTTAAGTTAAAGTATCCAAAGGATTTTTGCTTGAGTTATAATGGAGTTTAAGTTAATGGTTGAAGAAAGAAAGGATTATACCAACTCAAAAGGTTTTCTCAAATCTTGTTCTTAAT